CTACTGAACAAAATGCAGCTCCAGCATTTCACATTCTTGGCCAGGTTCCAGAGGTAGTTAGCTTCCTCACAGGCAGCTTTTCCTGGCCCTGGACAAGCTTGTTCCCCTCCCAACTGGGATAGGGAACTGAAAAGTTTCCCCCTCTCTGAGGGTGTGTGTGTGTGTGTGTGTGTGTGTGTGTGTGTGTGCGCGTTTGCGCGCGCGCGCCCTTCTCTGCCAAGCTCTTTGTGCGTGTCAAAACAGCATACACAGTTTACAGGAAAGCAACACAGAACCCACTGCTGTTCTGACTGCCTCGGGCTGGCAGCAAGAGCTCAGAGTTTTTCCTGCAAATCTCAGCATCTTTCATTCCTAGCTGTAAGTGGGTGCTCCATGTATGGGAATGGGCACAGGCAGTCCAGAGGGGCCTGCCTTGAAGAGTCAGTAAGGCCCAATACTGTTTGAGGGGAAGGGAAATTGGTCTCTGCTGCTGCCTGATTGACTATGTCTGGTTTCACATGATGTTTGATTCTTAGAGGTCCTACAATATATACCAAGCAGACCTGAAGGAGACTTGTCAACAAAGCTGGTCATTGCGCTGAAAGGTAGAAAAAATAGTAAACTGGTGTAAACTGATCACTAGGTCTGAAAGGAGCATGAAACTTGGAGCAGGATGGGAGAGGGTCAGCTTAATGGAAAAGGAGTCAGTTGTGCCTGGGTTAAATTCCAGAGAATGATTTTGCTAATTCTTAGACTGACCTTAAGTACAGATGTATGAATACAGTGAACAAGAAAGCATGGTGGGGGCCATGTTATCCATAAACAGATAATGAAAATATACAGAATCTTGTTTCACAGTGACACCTGAGCATTTTTTTAACTATATTTTAACAGTTTATGAGCCTTTTAAGTGCCAAGAGCAATCTTAAGCATGCAATTTACAGGGTTTTTTGGGGGGGGGGGGGGATGAGAAAGAGAATGAGGTGAAAGGGAGGAATAAGTGTTTGAATCCACTTTCGGCATACTGGAGCGGAAAGGTGTATTGTTTTGCATGTGATCACTACTGGCAGTGTTCCCAAAAGCTATGTCAAGAACAGCAGGATGTCAGACTAGTTGGCTTCTTTTAGTCCCCTACACTATTCCTTTCTGCTTCCCTTCATTTCCAAACTGGCTGGGTTGGATTACTGGCCTAATCTTTTCTAGGCTTGCCAGTCTAGTTCACTTCATCCTCCCTTAAACAGTCTACTCACCATTTTCTTGACTCTTGTCTCCACATGCAAACTCTAGTCTCAGTTGCTTCTTCCAGACCATCTCACACTGTTTTCTTGCAGTTTTTCTGACACTGCAAACTTTGGTCTTACTCTTGATGCATGTGATCTAGCAATGCCACTCCTTTCAGTGCCATTAAACCTCTCATTTCAATGGCTTCTCTCTTTGATTGCCTGTGCAGCTGATCCAGAGAGATGTGGCCTCATGCCAATGTTGTAGTTAGCTCTTAGTAGTCTGGTTATAAATGTGTCAGATCATTCTGCTCATGTTACTGCAGACTTCCCCTGCACTTAGTGGGCACTTGCATTTCTCTACTTATTTCTCCATTTGCTGTTAATCACCCTCACGTTATGAAACACTACGCCTCTTTAGCTATTATAATGTGTGTACTGCCTCTTGGTTCAAATTTTGCATCAGTCTCCTAAATTTGTGGGTCAGCTGATGCATGACTCACTGGAGAGTAACTCAACCTGGGTCCATATGCTAATTCAAACCATTGGTGGTACAATGGTTGCTGCTGAAGCGTGATCCTTTTGCTTGGGATAACCTTATAATCTGTAATCATCTTCCTACTTTCTTCTATCTAATATCCAGTATGTTAAACTAACAGTCACAGACTTGGTGCTCCCCTGTTGAAAAATATCACCTCAGTCAGTTTCTCTCCTCTTGGTCTATGTTCTCTGCCACTGAAGGGTAAGAGCACAATTTTTTTTCTCAGAATAGCACTTATTCTGCAGGATTGTTCAATATACAGGTTGGATCTCCTTGGCCTCCCTCCTGACTGGCAAACTCCTTCCTTGAGGACCAGACTGGGGAGGTCAATTCTGGCCCCCTGTTGCAAGCCTCCATGCTCTCTCAGCCCCGGGCAACACTTCCAGTTTCCAGGGTTCTCTGGTCCAGCATCCACCCTTATCATGGATGTTGCTGTACCAGGAGGTCCTACCTGTACTGGTGGAAGTTTCCTTTTGTGCTGAAAATGAGATTAGTAAAATCTGAGTCTGTACCAAATCTAGATGAGGAAGGTGAAGACTACAGTCCTAATCCATGACTTATTCCTAAGAGAGTTCTGTCCCACCCCCCAAAACTCCTGCACCGCCCCCCCCAAAAAAAAATTGGTGCACAATATTTTACAATTCTGCATATTTTGTGTCAATAAATGTGAAGGCTCCAGAACGGCAGGTGGGAAGCACAGATTACTGGCTGTATAGAGATAGTAGATCACCTTGCTTCCTTCCTCTTCCTGGGATACAGATTTGATGATGTGGCTGCACCCAAGGCTGATGCAGCATAAGGGCTGAGCCTGCCCCAGAAAAACACTTTTGCTTGCTATCTTGGTGCAGAGGGGCAGGGCCAGAGGAACAAACTCTCACGCATGCCCAACCCTGATACCTGATCCAGGTTTGGAGCAGGCAGTCAGCTTAGCAGGATCCAAATGTGGAGGAATTTAATGTAAGGTGATTTAGGTGTGGCGTAAGAGTGCCTCTCATAGAACAATCTGGATGTGAGCAGCTTGGTGGAAGGTCTGGCTGCAATGAGGGATCTGATCCTGGGTGTAGGAGTGAGATTTGATGGGGAGGATTTGAGTTATTGGGGGTGGGGGAGTAGGGCTAGTTTCTGGGCTGGCTCTGACCTGACCTTGGGCCTGGCCGCTCTTTCAGATAAAAAGGAAGTGCTGTCTTCTCCATCCAAATTGGACTAGCAGCTAAACCTGGTATAAGGTAGGAGCCACCAGCTGGGGCATCCCCAACCTCCTCTCTACCCTTGCAGTGATTTATGTCTCCAACAGCTCCAGGCACCCAAACAACATGTTTGTGCTGGTGGGGAGGAATGTGTGACTGATTTTGTGACTTTCCACTTAGAAGTAATTTTTCTGCAGGGAAACAGAGAAATTTGTGGGGGATGTGAATTCTGCATGCACACAGTGACACAGAATTCTCCCTAGAATGATGACTGGGGCTTCCAGGCACTACTGCAATAAAATTTAAAAATACTTCAGACAGATTCCTGAAGCAAAGCCAAGAGGTTTCCATTCCTCTTGAACAGCAAAATCATAATCAGAATGTTACTTTGTTTTTTGGTTTGAGGCTGTTCATCTTTGTGGATTGCTAAAGCTAAAAAGAAATACAATTATTCATTTCTAATCCTGGTAGTGTATCAATCTGCTCAATAACATGCCTTCTCAATGGTCTCTCTTACCACAAGGTTTTTTTGTGATGACACATAGGAGTAAATGTGACAAGTATAAATGTATGTTACTTGTTAGGCATAGGGATGTTAAGGACTAGTCGACTAGCTGATAAGCAAATGCTTATCGGATAGTTAGTTGACTAGTCTATTTTCTCCCTCCCTTTATCAGATAGAGGCAGCAAAGGAGGGGAAGAGGGAGTACTTCAAAGTGGCAGCGCCACATAGCTGAGCCCAGGATCAGCTGTGTGGCGCTGCCGCTTTGAAATGCTGGGGCAGCCCTGCACAGCTGAGCCAAGCGTCAGCTGTGCGGTGCTGCTGCATAGAGCCTGGAATCAGCTGGGGAAATGCCACACAGAACCCATGGTCAGCTGGGAAGTCCCCCGTTGACCCTGGGCTCCATGCTGTGCTGCGGATTTGAAATGCACAAGAGCCCCTGGTGGGTACTCTTGTACATTCAAAGCTGGCACCCATGCGGGGCCAGTGGGAAGTCTGCACGCAGAGTTTTGCATTCCTCCTTTGAAATGCACAGAGACTCTTCTACATTTCAAAGGAGGAATGTGCAAGTGCCTATGGAGTAGTCAATGGAAATTTCATCAACTACTCGACTAGTCAGACCATTACTTAACATCCTTAGTTAGGCATGTCTTCTGTGTTAAATAGTGTTTGAGTTGTATATTTTAGCTCACTTGTCTTTCCATTAGACAAAAATACCGAGGGTTTATTTTCTAGACTTGTCATGGTAACTCAATCTTATGTTTTTCATATGAATGATTACACAGCCTGATCTATAATTACAAAACTGGTATAGCTATTGTTGGTTATAAATTTTGGGAGGAAAATACCCTAAATAACTGCTGGTTTTGCCCACGAAAGCTCAGGATACCATCTACATGTTTTGTTAGTTTTGTAGGTGCTATTCGTTGTTTAAGCTTTTGCTGCTTTAGGGTTTTCAATAGCAAATTCAGGTTCTGCCTATACTGAGGGACTCTGGTTAGTAGGTAACAAATAAAATAATGACCTCATACATAAGAGTGAAATCCGAGGATTTGAAGGGTAAGGAGGATATTTAATCAGACCATTTAAAAACCTTGTTTTTAAGATGTCCTTAACTTCCTCCCTCTGAAGAATGAGTCAGCATGCTGACCTGTTAGTTGAATTACGAGGTCACACAATTCCTACCTTCTTAGGTGTCCAGACAGTCCTCAAGCAAGGCAGGCTTTTGATATTACTGATTTTTAAGATAAGACAAAAAGTTCTCTTGCTTGATGGTATGGGGAAGGAGGAGGTAACTCTAGTCTTCACGAATCCTAAAGAAGCAGGAAAGGACACAACTTTCTTCTTGCTTTGTTAGCTATAAAAAGCTTTACGTAATGGACAGAGGTGCAGAAAGCTTGTTGTCCTAAGAGCACATTCATAGGTTGCCAATTCATTAAGGAAATGAACACAGCACTGGTATGACTGAGATGTTATAGAATATTCTATGATGCAAATTAACTTTACATTTGGACTAAAACTTTTGGGAAGGCAGTACAATGACATATCTCTTTAACAATTTTCTGTTACAGATTGCACTGAAATATGATCCACAGGCAGAAGAAGATCTACGCAACTGGATAGAAGAGGTTACAGGCATGAGTGTTGGTGCAAACTTTCAGTTGGGCTTAAAGGATGGCATAATCCTATGCGAGTAAGAAGCACATTTTCTTTGTTAGGTAGTTTTGTTTTTTTCCAGATTCTGGAGAGCATTTTGAATATATCAGTTATAATCAGAATACATTTGCTACCAAGGAAGACACTGCTTCCATGTTGTCTTTTTCATGAGCCTCCGGGGAAGAAAGACCAAGAATCCTATCAGAGATATGACACTATGGTATTAAACTAGCACATTTTGAATTTGTATTTGAATTAAGAGATTTGTCAGAAATCCTTAAGTGTAAGAGGGGCCTTTGCATGAAACAAAATAATTTAAACTGGTTTGCATCAACTCACTACAGCAATGGTAGCATGAACAATGAAGATTTTTAGGTAATGCCTGTACAAATACTATGAAAATGAGATTCACGGTTTACACATTTCATTCATTTTTCCCCAGACTCATAAATAAACTGCAGCCAGGATCAGTGAAGAAAATCAATCAATCAGAACTAAATTGGCATCAGGTAAAAAAGAAAAAAAAGCCCACCTTGTATGTTTGCAGAACTGATGTAAATGGGATAGAACTGCCTCTACTGAAATATTTCCAGTGGTTAATTAGCTATTTGTTTATGGATACTTAAGCAAATAGATAAATGGAGTCCCAACTGGGTTGTCCTCTAAAATGGTACATCAGTAGAAATGTTTAATAGCAGCTCTAATTACTAGCAGAAATTTCAAGTAGCAGACAAATGGGGACATACAGCAAGACTACTTGTTCCTTAAAAGGAAAAAAGGCTTTTAAAAGGCTGTTTTTAGTTAAACTTTAACTGGAAATTTTCACCCAGCCAAAGCTGCTAGCTACTGCAGTGTTTGCCAAGAGTTCTCAAACTTGATTGCACTGTGGTCACTTCTGACAACAATTACTACACAACCCCAGGAGGGAGGGCTGAAGCCTAAGCCTTCTCATTCCCTCACTGCCCTTGGGAGGAATGGGAGCCAAAGCTACACACCCTGGACAAAATGCAAGCACAAGAGCTTCAGCTCCAGGCAGGGGGCTTATAACTTGAGTCCTGTTATCTAGGGCTGAAATCCTTGGGCTTTGGCTTTGCCCCCTGAGTGTTAGGGCTTAGCAAGTCTGAGGCAGCCCTAGGGACCCCAAAACAGTGGCATCATGACCAGTGTTCCTGGTAAGCTGAGTGCTTGGGTGGCTACCCAGGAGAGATTCAAATGCTGCCTGCCTGATTAGCCAAGCACCCACAGCTGGCACCATGTATTTCTATTGATGGTGCACATAAAAATATAATTCCACACGTGGATGGAAAAAGATTAGAGGGATGTTATCCTTGGGACCTATCAGCAGTATCCAAAAACTACTAATAAATAATACAGAGGGGTAGCCGAGTTAGTCTGTTACTAGAAAAACTTAAAACAACAAATAGTCCAGTAGCACCTTAAAGACTATCACAACATGTATCATGAGCTTTTGTGGGCATAAACCACTTCTTCAGATGTGTCTAAAAAATAATACCTGAAGTTGGGCTGACTGTCCCAGTGAGTCAGCAGTAAAGTGCATAGTGTAAACATGTATTTCACATGTGACGGGAGCTTAATGGACAGTTTATGTTAAGCTGGACATTAAGTGATTTCTGAAATACTCTTTATTTCAGAATTTCTACAAATTGTAGTTCTGACTTTTTTGAAGTATTTAACATAATTCAGTAGAACTAAACTATTGGCACAGATTGTGTTTGTGGGGGGTGATATTAGTTTAAACTATTTGCTTTCAACCATTTGAATTACCCCTTTCAGCAGTCCAATTTTTCTTGCATATCCCCAAGTTTCACCTTGCTTATAAAATCAGACATACAACTACAAGTTCCACTAATTACTGAAAATTGCTTACTTTCTCATTTTTTATTATATAAAATCAAATGAACGTAAACATTGTACTTGCATTTCAATGTATAGGATAGAGCAGTACAAACAAGCCATTGTATGAAATTTTAGTTTGTACTGATTTTGCTATATAGCCTGTTGTAAACCTATACCCCTAGAAGACCTCTGCATACATCCCAGGTATACATACCTATGGTTGAGAACCATTGATTTAAACTAGAATATCTCTGAGGAGAGAATATGAATCTGATCAGGCATTAGCGGGTCTATGTATAAAACAAAAAATCCAAATGCAGATCTAATGTGTTCTGTTAAGCTTCACCGCTCATTTACTTTGCTCTATGTTGTGTCCCATCCCGAGGTTGTCTTGTCTAAACTCTTCAAGGCAGGGAATTTGTCAAAGTTCCTACTGTAAATTTTGAAGCTACCTTTTAAAAAATGAAACTGTGTGTGTTGTTTTTCAGTTGGAGAACATTGGGAATTTTATCAAAGCCATCCAAGTCTATGGTATGAAGCCACATGATATTTTTGAAGCAAATGATCTTTATGAGAATGGGAACATGACCCAAGTTCAGACTTCCCTGGTAGCACTAGCAGGTCTGGTAAGTATTTGTTTCCATCAAATATACTATACCACATTGAACTGGCAGAAATCCATGCATTGACCAGGATCATCTCTTCCACTCATAAGCATGGAAAACTTAGCAGGAAAAGATTGATTTTTACTGTGCTCCTCTCTCTGCCACGGCTCTGCCTTAGTGTCTCCCTCTTCACAGTAGTGGGTATGAGGATTGTGAGTTGGAGAGGATTGGGGTTATGAAACTGTGTCTTTAATTGCATAGTCCCCTGCTTGCATGTTACAGCCAGGAAAGGAGTTAATGACATCCTATTAACTCGTACTAAATCTCTTCCATAGCTGCTATTGAGCAGCCACAGAGCAATTTTGCTAATGGTAGTGGGGTGTGAGTGTGTTTATATAAAAATAAAAGATGTGCTTGCAAGGAACAGGGGCTAATAGAGGGTTAGCTCTCGGGACAGGGCTACATTTTCTCTGGCTGAGAATGTCCTATCTCTTAGGTGTGTGAAGGCCTTGTACTCTGAACACACATAGCCATAAACTCCATTCACTAGAGGAGGTAAAGCCTGAAAATATTGATGTTGAACTGAAAATCCTTAATATCTTTATACCCCTCTGCCCCCAGCTGTCTCAGGTGCATACAACTAATGAATCACATTACTCCTGAATTTCAGAAGGCCATACAAGCTAATTACTAGTGTGGTCATCTACAAAATTGGCAGAAAAAAATCCTGCCAAAGAAAACTTAACTGTACAGTATGCCTGTAGTTGAATATTAAAGTGTTTCTAACAGCAAGTAAAAGATGTATGTACAGTAAGCTTCCGATAATCCAGCACCTTTAGGACCTAGGGGGTGCCGGATTATCAGATATGACGGACTATCGGAAGGGGGGCTATGAGAGGTCTGGGGGAGGATACGCCCCTTGGCACTGCAGGACCAACCTGGCAGCACCCCAGCTGCTCTGCCTCAGACTTCCCCAAATCAGCCGCTGCTAAAACTGACCAGCGGGTGACTCCGGGAAGCCTGGGGCAGAGCAGCTGGGGTGCTCTGCCCCGGGCTTCCTGGAGTCAGCTGCTGGGCCGGTTCAGGCGCATCGGGGAAGCCGGGGGCAGAGGCACTCCCAATTGTCTGGCTGCCTGGAGCTGGGTTCCAGATGGTGCTGGACCATCAGGAGTGCCGGGCCATTGGATGCTGAACCACTGGAGTTTTACTGTACTAAATGTAAGACTTAGTCAAGTAATTCTCACTTTTCAAGCATATCTAAAACTTGCTAACAAATATTTAAGTGACTAATGATTTTGGGTGGTGGTTTTGAGTTCCCATATTGCACTCTATAGGGACTGATTTTCAGAACACAGATTTGCAGCACTGTCTGAAAATCAGGTCCACTAAGGCACCGTAAATTTGGGACCCAAAAGTCACTTCTGAAAAGCTTAGCTTGCTGTCTGTGTATGGGATGTAATTCTTTCATGAATTCTAACAGCAAAAAGGATTATTTAAAAAGTGTGTTTTCCCTTTTTAAATTACTTGTTTCTACTTAGGCAAAAACCAAAGGATTCCATACCACAATTGATATTGGTGTAAAATATGCAGAAAAGCAAGCAAGAAGTTTTGATGCAGGGAAACTAAAAGCTGGTCAAAGTGTAATTGGCCTTCAGGTAAGAATTAGATTAAAGTTTTGTGTGTGATAAACCAAACTGATAAACCATCAAAGATAATAGGGCCTAATCTAATTCATGGTCATGAAAAATGAATTACAGATCATGAAATCTGGTCTTGTGTGTGCTTTTACCCTATACTATAGATATTTCACTGTGGAGTCTGACATTTCTCTGCGGGTCCTGGTCCAAAAGTGAATTGCAGGAGAGGGAAGCCAAGTTATTTAGGGGGATCATTATATTATACCCTTTTTTGTGGCCTTAAGAGCTGGATTACTGGAGAGCAGCAGCTGCTGGTTAGATGTCCAGCTCTAAAGGCAACAATCCACGCGCAGCAGCACAGAAGAGTGGCAATACCATACTATGCCACCCTTACTTCTGCACTGCTATTGGCAGTCACTTTGCTGCCTCCAGAGCTGGAGAATGGTGGCTGATGACCTGGAGCCCATCTCTCAAGGCAATCAGCAGCAAGGCAGAAGGAAAGGTAGCAGTACCACACCACCAATCTTTTTTGGCTGAGATCCAATAATTAAACATTTCAGATTTAAATACAAGCTATCCTTGCTATAAGTCCAAGATACTTTCCAAAAAACAACTTAAAGTGGGACTTCCATTTGTGCAAATTGGTTTTTTGGTGGGGGGGGAGGGGTGTATGTGTGTGCAACTTAAGATCAGGGAATAGGAGGACTTAATGCATCAGTTCTTACAAGCGTCAACAACTTGAGTGCAGAATGGATGTATACTGGGGCAACTTATAGCTGGGATGCCCTGTAGCTAAAATAACAATTTATTATTTTTAAAAGTCCTATGACTGGGACATTAACAAATGGACTGTAAATTTAGAGGTTCTAATAGATAATTTGCTGTTTGAAAAGCTGGAACAAGGTCTCCTCCTGCTATTGGTGTACAGTTTGTTTTCTGTCCTTCTAAAATAATAGATAGGATTTCTAAAATCAAGTGACATTATGAAAAGAATTTTTCTTTACTATAATTTCTGAGAGTTAGAAGAATTAGATATTTATTGATAGATGAAAAAAAGTCTTGATACTCATCAAAATATAAATGAACAAAGTAAGAAAAATGCTATTTGAGAACTTGAGTTCCACCTTACTATTTATAAAACAAACTGGCAATACATCATATTAGAAGAGGTGAAACATGAGTGTTATTTAGATATCTTTAAACTGACCCCTTTCCTCCTCCCACAAATTCCTGCAACTGTGAAAATTTAAATTGGTTAAAATGTGTGTGGGGGGGGAGAACGACATGTAACCTATACTTTTAGCCAATTCAATACTTAAAACCGATAATGCTTAAAAATGAAGACTAGTATTTCTGTCCAAACTATTAAAACACTTCAGTTATGAACACTTTAGGATTGGAGTTACAAAACACGATTCCTTGAAGTTTACAATTGAACATTGACTTACTGCTTTGAAACTTTACTATGCAGAAAGAAAATGCTGCTTCCATCTCCTCACCTTGTCCAATTTATTAAACTTTCCCTTTAATAGGTTACATTTAACACCATACTGTATTTGCATTTTTTTCCCTTCTGCTACTACCTGATTACGAACTTACAATTCCAGATAAGACATGTGGTTGATAGGTCAATTCATAACGTGGTGTTCATAGCTCCAAGGTTCTACTGTAATGAGAAATGAATCAGCCTTTCCGCTGTAGATCATAATGGCCAAAATATACCATAATGTGCAAAATGAAATAAGGTTTCTCATTCTAATCAATACCCTTGCTGAGAAGACACACCTCCTTTGCACACCCACTGAAATATGGCATATCTGTTTTGGACTAGGTCTCTGCATTGCAATGAAATTAACACCCACTCTCGCCCTCCTCGCCAAATTTTTTGTGTTTTTGTTTGTTTTTTTTTAAGATGGGAACCAACAAGTGTGCCAGCCAGGCAGGTATGACTGCATATGGGACCAGAAGGCATCTGTATGATCCAAAAATGCAAACCGATAAACCATTTGACCAGACAACAATTAGCCTACAGATGGGTACTAACAAAGGGGCCAGTCAGGTGAGAAAGGTTACATGTGATAGTATTTCAAAATCAGCTATTGTTGTGATGCTGCATCTTGCTAAAGGAGTCACTTGAGACCTTGAAAGGGCACAGTACCAGTAATGTTTTCTTTTAATGATTCAAGAGCTGAATCTTTTGTGGGAAC